CACTTTGTAAACGCAATTATGTTATTACCCATCATTTATTGAACACGTTAAACTGTTAAATAGCAACATTAAATAACTTTCTTCGCAATAAATTGTTTTTCGACATCTTGGGAATTCGAAATTTAAGATTCGATTTCTTTTTAATTTGTTTGATGTTTTTAAATAAAGAGTTGGACGTCGTAATTTTTGTACCAGATATATTACCTACATAAATAACAAGAACTTTATCTTAGAAAAAAAGGATACTTAACTATAATTATTAATTCAGCTTGCGTTCCATCCATTAACATAAAAAATCTAATAATTTTAATATAAAATAAGAAAAAGGAATATTTTTGAAATTAGAATCCATCAATTTAACCCTTCGTCCGCCGTAGTGTTATTCGCTCCACGTAATCTCTAGGGTGGTCTTAGAGACCCTCATTAATGTGCACCTCTACGACACAAGCGCGCGATAATTACCTGTGACTTGCATACAGAATTCGTTCTCTTGAATTTATTGACTCTATTTTCTCTTTATTCTTTAACCGACCGTTGTTTAAATAGATTTCCATCTTTTCTCACATTTAAATCATAAGAAAATAATGTCTTGTCAGAAAACCTTGACACCATTCTTGGAAATAAGTTTTTTTGACACTAACGTAAACAGATAATGATATCAGGGAATATCAGTTCAAGGAATAAGGAGATTTATAACTTATGGGGAAAATGAGTGTCCGTACGGTGCTATCTAAGTATTTATTTTGAGCTTGGTAACTTAGCCATAGTACCGACTGTTACCTGGGCTTTAGCCAATAAAGGAAAGAAAAATAAAAGGTTTGTTTAAAAAATCATATCGCAACGTATTAGTTTACTAGAATTAATCAGAATCAATCGAGACATTATAAATCACCTAATTAAATACTTGTGTGGTAACAAACATATCAAGAAGTAGTAAAAATACCTAATACCATATTTGTACTGTAATAGTATATCTAAGATATTGATTGCTGTTACTACATACCTATTACTCGACTAGCTGCTCAAGGGTTGAACGTTCTGAATGGAAAATCATTTATGGATTCCATTCCGAATTCGAATTTCTTAGTAAAACATGTCTTGTTAGTAACTTAACTACCGAACAAGGAGTCTCAGAATTGTGTTTAGGGCGAAATACCCTGTGTTTTAAAAGCTTGTTCATTACCATACAATATCATGTCTTCCATGAGTTGTTCTAGACCTTTGGGGAATAAAATTTCTAAGTTTCAAGGAGTAAGATAAAGATATAGAGTCTACAATTAACCTTCCTAATAAAAAAAGGCCTGTACCAAAAAAACACAAACTTATTCAGTAGATACGCTTGCCCACCCTTGAGAAAAGCTGATGATCACTTTGTATGATAAAACCATCATTAGAATAATACTTAAGATATTAAGTTTGCTCCCCTTATTTTATTAAAATGTAATGGATAAGCTTACGTTTTTGGATCGTTTTATCAAGCGAGACCAACGAAGGGGACTTGTGTATACTTATGCAATTATTTAAAGTAACAAGATTTACATTTAAATAAGATCAAAGGGATTTTTCAAAAGAATGTACCAGGGCCCAAAATTGTATAATAAGTCTGGTGTTGTCTCAAGTAACTAAATAGAGAAAATAGCGGCAAATAAAAAACTCAAAGGTCGCAGAGTTGGAAAATACCTATTATAAATACCAGGCACGTGTTAGAAAAAAATCGGGAATTGAGTGACAATTTGTGACAACCCTCAAGAAATACACTTTGTGTGTATGTACTAGTTGCAAGTTATTATCTTATGGACAAAGTCATCATTACGGTAGTTCGCAGCGAGCTCTAAACACCGGTAGTGAAAATGATACAACTAATCTTACGCAAGTAGAAAATGAGCAATACCCCAGTACAATCACCCCTACATACCTATACATATTTTAATAATAATAGGAAAATTGCTACTGCAGGCTATCATTCGAAAGGAATAACTTGGCGTGGGGCAACACGCGACCCTCTGACAAACGAAAATTTAACATTTACCTTGTAATTATTGCACTCCAAAGTCTAATTTCCTGTAATCGATTGCAAGGACAGTTGTGGTGACGCGCATGCGTCCGTTTTGGAGGGAAAAACGTATACAGTGTTGCCATGGTAACGGTGTATTGCACCGTGTTCATTGCACTTGTGACGGAGGCTACGTTAGTCTGAAACCCTATCGGTTATCAAAAGCCGTTTAGTTCGTGCTGTTGTGCAAATACAGAATAAAGGCTCGTTTGTAGTGTTGTGATTGAACTCCACAAGGTTTGTTTACGTGTGAAGTAGGCGTTTTATCTGTCTGCTTTTATCTGTATCATTATCTTTTACAATTACAATGGCCGTTTTATACCCATTGTCTTTCTTTCATGTTACTTTAAAACCGCGTAGCGTTAGAAGGGTTATAATTATAGCTGTTTGTTAAAAAAAATAACACTATTTTTAAAGTGAGATGGTGTGTTCCGATAAGTCTAAATGAAAACGAATTGCGGAGTTGAATTCTTTTTTTAAATATTCGAATTATCCTTATTGGAAAATCGTCAGTGAAATTACGTGGTCAATGAAACTTCCATATATCTTGCAAGACAAACGTGTCCCTATAAATTTCAATCGCCATAAACAAAGGAACGAAGGTCGAAGGGCTTTAATTAGCAAGTATCAAGTAATTAATTGTCCTTACAACGGAAGACGGTGAAGCCTTGAAAATACTAAACTTCTCATAAACCTTTAGTTATTGTGTTTTTCAATTAGACCTTTCAACTCGAGTGTACGGTTAATTGGTAACTTTTAGACCTGTTTTTCCAGTAGCCGAACCAACCCTTCATTTTAATCCTTTTTGGATTTATATCTCTTGGAACCGGATTTTTTGGTACGATGAAGGATTGTTTCGTTTTTTGGGTTGTAACTTGTGATGGGTTTTTATGTGACAAATAAATACTTACCTATCTAAAAATATTGTTTAAAAGTATAAAATGCTTAATGTTTTCGCGGAACATGCGTATTGTTTTGAATAATAAGTTAACCTTGGTTGCTATATTTAATCGCATGTAAATTTTCATTGATAAAATAATACTTTTATGATACATGCGTAAAAAAATTATGTAGGTAAGTATGATAAATGAAAAAAGGTAAAAAAGCAGCGTGTCATTTGTATCGCAATTTAAAAAATAAAGGAAACGGAACACATTCGAAATTCAAAATAAAAGAAACTACAAAATAGGTAGGTTAAAAAAATATTAAGGTAAATATAGGTATTCTATTTTCAAAAGCAATAATGTCGATGGAAAACCAGCGATATAAAATTCTGTGTTCAAGTTTGTCAAGTCCGAGTGGTTCATGTAGAAAGCTTAAATGTGTCAGTTATTCTGTGCCTACACACTAGTTTGCTTGATAATGTTCCTCGTAAAATCTAAACTTCAAGGCTTAGACCTGCCTTTAGACACACGCGTAAAATGTACGAAGAATTTAATTTGATAGGTGTCTGCTGTTTGAAATTTTGAAATTTCTAACACCGACTAGAATCGAAGTAGTCATGTTTGTATCGGGAAAAGGTAATTATATGTATTAAGATACATACGTTTGAAGTATGTACATGTATAAATTGTGCACTGTTTTAGGATAATTTTGTGTTTAATTTAAATACTTATATCACTTGGTTTATCTCAAATTTCTAGTTGTAGGTATCTAAAATTGTGTAATAGTACACCTACTAATTTCTAAATCCATTATTTATAAGACGAACGTTATCTAACACTCAACACGACATAACCATAGATTAAAGAGAAACATTAAATGTCATTAAAACGTCAATTAAAATACGACATTTAAACAAATAATGGTTAAACTTCGGGTGTGTCATACAAGGCTGGGTTTATCTTAACTCAACCAGGCGGTAATTAACTAAAAACTGGCTCAAATAAAATGAGAATAATAAGATCCAGATAAAACCTCAAACAATTATATCTGACGTATTTTAACAGCTGAATGAAATAACGGATCGTAGAGCCATTACTGCCAGTTCAATAAATTCAAATCTCCAATCAGATATCATATGCAAATGCAACGGTAATGATTTATAAAATAGCAGCCCATAACGAGAGCCCGTTATGTAACATTATCAACATTGTCATGCTTTATTCACGACTATTAGAAGAACAGAATCTGTCGCAAATAATAAAACTAGATATATCTATACTAATACAGTTCTGTTTATATTTAGACAATGCTAAATGTAGCCAGACATTTTAAATCGCAAAAGACCTTGTAGGTATCGCCCGTTTAGATGTACGAACGATTGCGGAGAATCCCATTTCGCGTTTGTATTCAATGCTTGTACAAAACCACTATCAGTAAAAATGACCATTTAAATGCTTTAAAAATGGCGTTGTATATATCGCTTTGAATCGCTTTATTGCCCTACAAGTAGACTACCATTGTAAGAGTTCAACGTTCAATAGTACACAAGCGCAGACACGGCGACGCCGCACGTACAACGCCGCGTCCAACGTAAAAATTACTTCGTGTACCTACCGGCTTACTGAGTTCCACGCGTTGCGGATAGATGGCGCACTGTTAAATTATTAATGTCAGAGGGAAATGCAACACGTTTCGTTATGATTTTCTATTTATTTACACGTGTAAGATTGATTGGAGGGATTGCGTGACGTGTTATTTCATTGCTTTGGGTACTCTTCTTGGGGCCCCGATGGCACTTCGAATTTTTCTTTGTTTGCTTAGGGGAAACGTGCTTTTCTATTAATTTGGTTGTTGACTGTATACTGTAGGGCCTGAGGTGATAAATTGATTGATGTTTCCTCACTTTTAAAGATGGTTTTGTGACGGAGTTTCTTAAAACAAGGAAATATTTTGTGCAACTCGTAACGATTTTTATTTTGTTCTGTGGAAACTGTTTCATATTTACATAACTATCAAATATTTTATCAATGTTTACTTATAGATTTTTTTTATTTGTCTGCAGATTGGCGCGCACCGATGGCAGACGAATCAGAAGCGGCGAGGGCACGGCGCGCGCCTGCGCCCCCGCCGCGGCAAACCACGCGCCCACCGGAGCCGCGCCCGCGTATGCAATCGGACCCGCGCATACAACCCGACCCGCGCATGCATCCCGACCCGCGTTTACATCCCGATCCGCGCTTACAACACGACCCGCGTGTTCAACCTGACCTGCGACAGCAAACCGACCCGCGAATACAACCGGACCCGTTGCGGCTGCCGGCGCCCCCACGGTTAATAAGGCCGTCAGAGCATCTTGCCATAGTTGAACGGGCGATGGAGCGCCGGCCGCCGCCTCTGGTGCCGGCTGTGACAGTGTTGCAAGGTCCACGGCCTCCGGTCCCGCCACCGCAGCCCCATCCACCGGTGTATAGGCATGTGGCACCACCACCGTTGAGGATGCCAGCTCCTGCCCAGCCAGTCATGAGACCACCACCTAGGAGAGATGTTCAGGTAAGTTTTATAATGATTTAAAACTAAAGTCCAATCTATTTGAACTATTTTAACATTGTACTGAGCTGAGTTTTTAAACAAAGCTCGTAAATAGTTTTCTAATAGTTATTGTGGATTTTAAGATTCATTCAACTGTCGATCATTAATTTCTGTATACGAATACATAGTTCGACAACAGTTAAGCATGAACTTGGGTATTTTTATTTGAAAAAATTAACCATTTTTCAGAATAGAATATACAGATTCTTTCCGTAGGTTCATTCAATTCATTCAAAATTCTACGGCAGTTTTCTGAGTTTAGAGTCTTCACAAAATATTTTCAAAGGTTTAAGTAAACACTGTCTGGTACAAAACCAAACATGACTCTATATTTCATTGGGAGACTAAGCCTATATTGCAAATATCTGCATGACATGGAGATACAGATAGAATATTAGACATGTATGATTTCAATAGTTATTTACACATATGAGTAGGCGTTATCCCCTCGTCATGCTAATCACAATCTGACTACGATGATATGCAATATTCGTTGTTTGTACCACAGTAATCGTTTCAAATCGACGCGAAAGTCTTTAGTCATAGGAATGACTCAATACAGATGCAGATGTGAACTTGGATCTTCCTTTATTTAGTATGGATGGACGAGAACGGTTGCATTGCCGAATAGAATTCGTTTGAATTAACGTTCGAATTTTAAATACTTAAAGATCAAACGTTTCTCCTCTCTATAAGGCCGTTTGGTAAAAATTACTTGTATAACACCCAAAGATTTGTTCTTCCTTGGCAAATAACTATGAATGTATAGACCTATAGCTAAAAACAATGCCCATATTAACGTCAAATGGACAGCAACCAGCTCCGACAATAACACATTGTTCTCCAATGAATTCACCACCTTCACCCGGTATGTATGTAATTTAAAACCGCGCTCGCTCTCCGACGGGCCTGCAGTTTCTTCCCGGTTTGAGTCATTGACGGCTTTCTTATTATAATGAGACTAAGTGGGTGCCGGGCAGTTTGGCACCACAATAGCTGAACATGACGTGTTGCAAAGCTCAAATAATAATGTTTCACGAACCAGGAAATAATATGAGAGTTTTTATGATCAGCAACATACGTAGTTACATGATAAACTTAGAAATTATCAAAGAATTTCTTCGTAATTGTTGTAATAAAAATGATTGAGTACACCGCAATAAAAAAGTCTTTGTTTATAATAAAATTGTCATACGAAAGACAAATAGCATCCTTGAATAAAATGAGACTGTTCCAAAACATTTGCCACAATTCGGTGACAACGGGTTGACTCACTGGAGAAATTATCTTCAGTTTTTAACGGGTTCATAATCGTCATTTATGGCCGCAATTTGTTGTAATAAAAGTCTCTGTCCGTTTGAAATTTGCTTGACCCAGATAAGGGCCCATCCGAACGTGGCAGACTACTGGCTAATAACGCAACGAGACGGGGCGGAGTAAAACCTTGGCCCGAAACGACTGCATTTATGGCTTGAATCATATTGTGCTCCAATCAGAGCGAAAAGTTACATTATTATAACAACTTTCATATAAAAATATGAGACAGAATATTGTTCAGATTGAGTCATAAAACGCGGAAATGTAATTGTGTTCGGAAAGTTTGCACTCTTAAACTTTTATGCAAGATTTTATTATATTTTGTAAATTAACTTTCCCACTGCAGATCGAAGGCCTCTCCTCGGTCAGCGAAGTATTAAGTAGTGGTGACAACCCTTATTCAACAGCCGGGGTTGCGGGGTAAGCGCAATGAGGCACCGCGACCTCGGCCTAGAGCAGGAGTAGGAACAGGGGGGTTTTTAGTCAGTAAGAGTCTGACACTCCCTCCCGCCTGACCCTGGGCGGGAGAAGTCATTTGATGATTTTGCCCTCACAAAAAAAAAACACTTATTCAAGGTTGATTTCTTAAAGAGATGTGCTGTCTACGTATAAAACAACATTAAATAAAAATAATCATATTCGCGAGTACAATAATAATATTCCGATTCGATACTTGGGTGGCTTATCGATAAGTAATAGCTGTACGAATCGAATTACAATTAAGTGCGGCGATAACGAATGCCATAACAATATCGTCAAAGTATATTAAGTTGATAAATATTCCATACATTGTGATGTATGGCTTATTTGTATCACTTAGGAACGTTATAAAGTACTTACAGCCTTATGTACAATGATAATAGTCTTTGAGTGCCTTTATTCGATTTTTTTGTTTGCTAACTTGTTTATATAGATTATGGAAGGTTATGATTCAATGCACTTTTCTAATTTTCTCTTATTTTATTCACTCTTTTATTTATTTGTCATGACCTACTCCTTCTTCTTGATTTGTCTTTGATGGCAATTTTCTCTAATTCTTTTCTTAATAATTCTTGTTATAGATTATCAAGCAACAGCGATTTGTGTAAAAAAAATTAATAAGAGTACAAGCCTATAATTTGATTTCTATAAAATTTAAATGCATTTGATCGATGTGAGTAAGCTGGCTTTTGAAAGTTCCTGCAATATAACCCAGCACCGTAAATGGTAATATAGACTTCCTAGAAAATCGTATGCAACTGTATCAAATTCATCTACATTTCACGCGAAGTTTGGTTAAATCACTAGATTATTTAGATTTCATTTTTTTCATCTTGGCAATATGCACTTGTGACCAAATGTGGAACTACACAAAAGGGGTATTTCAGTTGTTGTAGTATCAAAAAAAAATTGCCATATTAAGAACTAAACCCATCTCACATAGTCTATAACTACATATGACACATTACAATTAACACAATAAAAATGAAACGTGTATGAAAAAAATAAAAATGAGACTTATAAATCCCATTTTCAATTGACACTGTTAAATAATAGAAGGAAATCAAACCTTAACACCAATCTTTAAATCCCAAATTCATCCAACAGTCTCATTACAAGCCTCATTTCGTCTGCAATCGCCATCATCTCATGGTGAATTATCACAATATTCAATTCACCGACCTAGTTTAGGGTTATAATGACTTGCCCTACTTCGTTATGATTGAGTATTGGTACTGCATTCGACAGGCAATCAACAAAGATATGAAATGTAGCATTTGTTTTGGTTTTATTGTCTGCTAACTGTTCGACATGTGCTTTTGTATCAGTAGCATTAGCCCGGGCGATTTCTTTTGGATTAATAGAAATTTGATGGATCAATCCATCACATGTGGTTTTTAAATACGTTTTTGGATAAGCGTCTGTTGAGTAACTCTTTGTTTTACAGGCTAATTGAAGCGTAGTTTTTGGCTCAATGTCTGATGTACGAGTTTCATTTTTCTGACGTCGTCCTTGAATTAAATGGATTGGAGGAAAGTGACAAGTCTCCTAATAATATCTGGTTTGCCATTGATACACTGCTAGTAAAAAGTAACTGGAGGTTCAGTCTGCTTCTTGAATGTAAGCAGAAAATCAACAAGTACGCGTTTGCATGCTCTAAAGCTTTATTAGAGGGAGCGGCTTTAGTAGAAATCCCATTGATTCCAAACACTAGGAATAAATGCATAGTTTCCCATACACAATTAAGGATGCCAATGCAAGCGTTAGACTATTAAGCAAAGACATAGAAAAACATTAACATGTAAGTAGTCAAGTTGGTCAATTACTTAGCCAAGCGGTCTGGGCTTCGTAGACAATTTCTCGCTTCGCCCCGTAATTACGCAGCCTCGAGAAAATCTCGTAGTGCCAATTAACAGTACAGAGTTGAAAACAGGAGCCAATTATAAATACTAAGCTTACTCGATTGCTGGTTTTAATTTGGTGTTGCTAGTCGTTGAGAAAATGGGATGCTCTAAAACTTTAAATAGAAATTGTGATGATGGAAATGATCGTTCTTATTAGGTATTTAAAGTTACTGCTCCAGGTGCGGTGATTATGCAGTCCGCTATACTAAGGTTTCTGACTAAGTCGTTAATAGAGACTTGTTTGGAAAAATCTTTATCATTATCATCGAATCCTCTAACAACAACAACTATTTTGTTACCATTACAAACACAATGTAAACAATATATGAAGTCGGCATCTATTGACATGATATCACTATAGCAGACTCGAATCGAGCTTATTAATAAACAGCCAAACAGACCGCCCGTAGCCGCGTGGGTGACTTTGTATTCATCGATTTACTATTCGATACATCGATAGTTTGTCATGAGTATCGATACTTATATCGAGTACACCATTAGCGAGTGCATTAGCCTTTTAATTGTGTATTATTGAATATGGGATAACACCCACGTTGGTTTGTAGGCCAGGTATTAATGTTTTGTAACCCGTTAGCATTTGACGTATCTATTGCAAAATGGATAACAATGTCTGCTTTGATATTTCAGGTACTTTACTTAATAAAATATTTTCTGCATCTGCTGACGCTTTCAGGTGATCTAATATTATTTATTGGATTGACGAATTGTCCTTTCGGTCCAAATCAAAGAGGCTGGAAACAAATTTAATTAAATCGTCAACTACAATAATTCTGCCACTTAGACCACACAGATTTTTTAATTTTTCATCGTTTTATTCTATCACATTCCATCTATCAAATCCCAAATAAGACCCATCCAGATTAATATGAACCTAAGACCAGATCACCTAGAATTCATTTATATTATAATCATAAAATCATTCGCCAATCAACGGCCGTAAACTTAATCAGTTGCAAAAAACCACTAAGAACCCCGGAAAACAAATCAAATTGAATGCGAAAGTAATATGGGAGAGGAATCGGAACTGGCAATTGAAAATGAAAAACAGCATATTACCTTTGCCCAATAAGAGAAGCTGCTGTAGAAAGTTCTCGATCTTTGTCATTCCCTTAGCAATAATTCGTCGGTTGGATTCTATGGCTGACGGCAACCGCTATCAACGCAAGCGCAGTGACCATCAATTACCTCGATAGCTGGATTGTGTTATGTTGTTTCAATTCGAGAAACTGCGTATTAGTGTGTGTTTCAAATTGTACCTCGCTGTATAAATTAAAATATTGACCTGTGTGGTCAAGTTGCTGATTAAAGGTTTGCAGAATTGTTTGTTTGTCTGAGATTCAGTTAGTAGATTTATCTTAAACTGATAGGAAGTGGAGGCGCATACCTTAATCTAGTATTGTTTTGTGGTTACTGTTACTGTGTTAGTAGGATTGCAGTCTAAATATTTTTATTTTATCAAAAACTAAGCGGAATATTGTCGCCTAGACGGACCTTTTTATTACAAATTTTCATAGCAAGTTAAGATAAGCTGTTTAGCCCTCTATAGGGTTGGCCGTTTCGTTGAAAGTGTGAGTATCTACTGAGTAAAGCATGAGGGGGGCAATGGGTGGAGTGCCCTCCAGCGCCTCTGATTTATTGCGCAGTGACCGATTCATTATTATATTATCACCTGTTTCTCTGCGCGTGCGCTGCGTGGCCCTTTCTGCCCTTCATTGTTCAGTTACAAATTGTAATCACGTTTTGTAAACTTAGCGTGTTTTAAAGAGACCAGGGAAAATTTTCATTTTAAACTTTACTGTCTTTTTGCGATAATGAATAATCTTCTTCACTGATTACCTTTTTCATTTCGATACAGGGCTATTTGTGTTCAGAACGATTAAACAAATCAATCGATATTGCGATAAAAGTTATTTGTCGAAAATTTAACCATTTAATGGTTAAATTTTCGACAAATAACTTTTATCATAATAATGGAGATTTTTAATACAATGTAGTATTTCTTGAAGACACGTGTACAACAACTTTCTTAACCATTTAAATTCTTTTTACTTTTTCATGTCATACTGGTTGACTTGTAATACAATATTGAAGGGTAACAGGATCCGAGGATTACTGGCTACTGCCCGGATAGAGTGAACTTAAAAAACAGTCGAGAGTCGTCGAGTCAATAAACCTTATTGGGTTTCATTTTATAACTACTTTAGTTCCTTCGTCCTTTCATTTTTAATTTATTATCTTTAAAAATAAATTTGTGTTGCTTGTGTGTGTAAAATTATAAATCATGTTGGTTGTCATCTGTATTTAAAAAAATTATATTTGGTTCATTAATTTCTCGTGTCTATCATTTTGCATTTCAACTTGATTTTCTGCTTTATACGGACTCTTAACCTGATCACCATATCACATTTTTGACCATCAGATTCTCCACTAACAAATAAAACGTCCCATTGCTGTCTTTTCCTTTTTTTAAGTTGACGACCACCTACCACTTTAAGTACTACATAATATTATACCCCAATTAAACCACAAACAGTCACCCAACAAAGCTATGAGTTACTTCTAAAATGTTTACACGACCACTTTCCAATGTCAACGTTCAATCTGCGCCCACGCCGGCGCGCGAAAGATTGACAGCTGGGTGCGTGCGCGCCCATTGTTCGCACGTCACGTCAAACTGTTTGATATTTATTTGGCTTAGTCTGGTATGGCACAGGTTTGAAGGGTTGTCATGTAACGTACAGTTTATGCTCATTTTATGTTTACTTTGTTTATTTAATCCCAAACTTATCTGAGCTTTACTGTTAGTTGTACTTCTATTACATTGAGGTATTTAGGTACCAACTTCAATGTTATAATAAAGAAAAATTGTAGATTCAATAATTGTAAACGGAGGGTTACCGTTTATTCTTAATTAAATGTTGAGTAATATTTAAAAAAATAAATGTTTTAAAATCTTGTGTGTCTCTCTCTAACACAAAAGTGGTGGGTTCAACCCAGACTGCTAGACAAGGTAGACATT